TTTTTATCTGTTGCATTTTTTATGGCATATCCAGATAGAAGGAGCTAAAATGATGCAATGAAAAGTTCCAGCTGTGTAAGTGCAGAAAGGACTAACCATGCTCATTGGAACTATGTAAAGGAGGATTTCTGCGCTTGTGAAAATGAGAAATGCAGAACAGTTCTGTCACAGAGAATGATGAACAGACAGAAAATGAATGGACAAGGCACAGAAAGGAGTGAGGGCAAAGGGACTTGTCACTCAAAATAAAGTTTACAAGAATAGAATGAGATTTGAATATAATTTGTAAAATAATTGGATACAAAGTTTATAATTAACAATTTCCTATGGGGACATTGTTTAAAACCAGGTTTTGAAGTCTCAGTGGATATCTTGCTTGATACAGTAAATTCTGAATTAAGATATTCAAGCTTCCTCCTGACAGCCTCTAAAGTATTGCTCAACCTAGTGAATAAAGCACTCCTAACCGCTGAGAAAATATTATGTATTACTAAGATATGTAATTTAATTTTCACTGGTTGCAAGGACCAGGAAAAATCAAGTTGAACAAATATGAAATCACAGGTAAAGTGGAAAATGAAAAACTAATGGTAAGAACTAATATATATATATCACTTGAGAGAAAGAATCATGATATAATTTGTTGACTAAAAATTGAAATTAAGATAAATAACCAATAATTACAAGAAAAAAGCTATCAATTTTCAAGCCAAAGGGGAGAATATTATTGGAAAGAAAATTAGCAGAATAAGAAGAAAATTTAAATAAAGTGATTTATTGTTTAAATTAAAATATAAGGTTCCAAGTTTACCTAAATATTCAAGTAATATGCTGTAATTAGTACTTTAAAAAATAAATACAAATGGCAACAAATGTGTAAAGCAGTCAGTTCTGAAAGAAAATCTCTTCCTTAAAGAAAGAAAACTATAGCGTCATTTACCATTTGCTTCTTCTTGCATTTGCAGCTGTGAGTTTATTTGAAATTCTGAAACAAATAAACAAAAAAACTGTAGTTAATAACAGATCTATCCTTTAACATTAAAGAAAAGATTGGAGAAAAGACCCGAAGCACCATTCTGTAATACTAACACTTCCTTATACATTTTCTCCCTAGGCCTTATCCATACAATGCAAACACAAAACATAGTGCCTCAGAAATGTAAAAAGAAATCAGAAAAAATTTACCTCATATGTTGGAAGGTATGAATCCAGCTCAGATTTCATCAGAGAAAAAAAAAATTACAGATTTGACTTAACGTAACAATAATCCTTACCTTGAGGGTACAGCTCAATTTCTGAATGAATTACACCTTGGGACATAAATGGAAGCCATCTAAGAATTAGAAAGAAAATAAGAAAGAAGATGAGAATTAATTTTTATGCTACCATATTATCATATACCTGAATGATCCACACCTTACTTTTATATTGAATATGTATAATAGCAAAGAAACTCTAAGGTCTTTAGTATATAATTTGATAAATGTTAAAGGACAAATTAAGAATCTGATCCAACAAAGGCATTCTATTAGTACAAATATGAGAGTTGCATAAACATATTTATGCATAATCATAAGCATAATCGTGTGTCACTACCATATTCATTGATTGAGCACTACTTTGTATGTATCTTTGCTCTGTTTCTTAACTTCAAATTTCAGAATGAAAAACAAATTCTGTCCTTACTTTTTCCACTTACAAATGGGGGTAGATTACTGAGACTGAACAGTATAAATTAAGAAAAATTTTGGTTAGATTTGATGTCCAGTGGCATACATAACTTTTCCATCTTTTCTAACGATGTCACCTTCACCCTCCAATTCAGACATCAGGTTCTGCTTTTCAGGCAGTATATAAGGCACAAAGTAGCCCATCTCTTAGACTACTAGTGCAGTGTAGTTTAGGCACAAGTGTTCACTTTCTGAAGTCTCTTCCCAAGACAGTACCAGGATTTGGTCTCATGGTGGTTCATTTTGGCCATTCCCCACCAGCACCACATGAAAAATACGCACCAAAGCACAGGACGATCCTGGCAAATGAGAGAAGGGATCTGTCCCAGAGAGAACAGGCTCAGAGTTTAACCAGAAATTATTAGCAGCGACACCCTTGGGAGCAAGGTTAATGCTATACTTGGTAAATATTCTAGCAATTTTATTTCCAAGAAAAAGAAATGCAGTCTTTAAAACAAGAAAAGAGGGTGCTGTGACTGTTTTCTAAAGTTGATAATAGGAAAAAAAAAAAAAAAGAGAAAGAGGATAGCACTGCTTTTTACTTGTCCTTTTTAAAAAACATATTCTCTTCCTTCCATATTTCAAAGGAGAAACTTCTCAGATTAAAATTACTATAAAAAACCGTAACTTAATGCTGTGTATTACTATATTATAGCTAAATCCTTATAGGCTAAGAAATCCTAGATCAGTGAAAATTTATATGCATGTGCAAGTTAGATCACATAAATATTGACAGAATTTGTGTACATACTGTATTTTGTCTTAAAAACATTAACAGGCTCATTCATATGAGCACATAAGTAAGCCTTATGAAATAAATCTTGTCTTACTAGACAACTTATTTTTATCACTCTTCTGCTAAAGTCTTATTATGCAAATATATTTTGCAGTCATAAATGCTGAAAAATACCAGTCTGTTGAATCAAAATCTAGTCAGAGTATTTTGATTCTCAGGAACTAACATCAGATTTCTATTAAGTCAGACAAAATGCTGATATTTTCTTAAATGGCTGATAAAAAATATAATATTTTGTTTATGCACTGGATCAGAAAATATCAGTGTATAATTAAAAATATAAAGCTAAAGATAAATATATTGAATTTCTGAAGAATATTTTTTTCTCTCCTTGAAGAAGAGCACAATATTTCACCTTTACATTCTGGACCTATGAAAGCTCCTCCTCACTTATCCTCTCCAACCTATTTTAACCCTTTTTTAGTGGCAAAAGATGTCAATGAAAAAAACTGTTTCTTCTTCATAGTCTCTGTCACTGAATAATTCTTGCTGATCAGCACCTAGTGTATTAATTATTACAGAATTAATACAGCACATGGACTGTCATGCATTCTTTCTAAGCTTTGTTAACCACTGGAAGATAAATGTGATATAGCAATGAAATTCCTGCTCAAGATAGCCTGCTTGCCTGAACTACTGTCAAACTTCCTGGCAGGAAACTAACTACATATATGTGTTTTTTAATTTTTATTTATTTATTTATTTTTAGAAAAAGTAGAAATAACAACTAGCAGCAGCAACCAACCTGTATCTAAATCCACACCAAGAATTCCTCCATGTCACTACTAGTATACAAACTCATGGTAGTGATTAAGGAAAGATAATTTGATAAAGGTGAGTAAGCATCTTCATTTTTTTTTTTTTTTTTAATGATGTGGCATGGGGAGTTTCAAGAGGTTGTGTGAGGTTACATAACAAATTCATTTTAAAAAAAAACACAAATAACGAGGCATCATACTTTTTTTTTTTTTTTTTTCGAGCCCTGTCACTTAGTCACATTGTATCTCTACATGTCCTCGATTTTACTGGAGTGATGCACTTACCCAATAGACAGACTGTAGAACTGGGAACTCCGAGCACGAGATTAACATAGTTTTCTAAACATAAAAAAGCCTGATGATACAATTCTGCTGTGTTAGAATTCCATTTTAACTGAGAACATTTTTGTGTGCTTTATCTTCTGCTCTTGAGTAAGTAAGTCACCCTTAGAGCACCACTCCATATACATTGTACACTCTAGTAATGCCACAGTATACGCATTTTGACCTTTGATACAAGTGGACGTATGACCACTACTAACTCAAGTAATTTATTCTGGAGCAACACATTCTGTAGGCATTATAAAATTGCAAAATAATCCAAATTTGTCTTTTCCTGGGAAAATCATATTTAGAACATTATCAGTATAATGCAGTTATTGCAAAGATATAAACCCTAATGGTACCTAAGATATAAAATATATCTTATAATTAGTAATATTGAATGGTTTGTACTACCTTTCACAACAGAAAACATATTCCAAGTTCTTCTCGGCTTCCCTGACAATGACTTTATCACAGTACCAATACTGGGACTTCGTATTAGCCTCACAGCGCAACAGCACCTTCTGCAGCTTTCCAAGAGAAACAGCTCCCACTTCAAAAGCGCTGACCTAGTGGAGACACCAGTCCATAATTTGTCAACATTAAGAAAGTCCAGAAGCTGCAGTGTTTTACAGCCTGGTCTATCTCTCACGATGGTCAAAAACAAACAAACAAACAAAAACCTTCACTGTTTTAATGACAGCTGGCCCGTATCAAAAGCGCCGGATCCAAAATTAAATGTCTTTTGATTATGCGTTGGACTAAATAAGAAAATATAGCTAAAATCAGAATGCATTTTTCCTTAAGAAACTGAAATCTGACATGCTCCTTTGTCCTTGTTATGCATTACACTTGCTTAACACAGATTATTTTAACAGAAACATTGAGCTGATCCGGTGAAAGGTTCAGGCTGGTAAAATTTTATCACACTACAAAGCACATAGTTTTCTCCCTCTAAATGCAACAAGCCAGGCTGGATCATGCTTTCAAGAGGAGGAGAGAGAGGGGGAGAGGGAGAGAAAGAGAGAGAGGGAGAGGGAGAGGGCGAGGGAGAGGGAGAAGGAGAGGGAGAGGAGAGTCCCGAGCTATCCTTTCCCTGTCTCAAGTTCTACAAAGACAGGACTTTTTGATACTTCTTTTCAATAATTCTTTTTATCTTGATTATCTTTATGATCTAGCACATTACTTGCCACAACCACTCAAACAATCTGGTGAAACAGAGTTGATTTCCCTGGTAATTTCTGCATTTTGAAAGTTTTCACTAGGTTTCAAAACCTAGTACCTAGATGTTTGGAACATTGAAAGCTATTTTTCACAAAGCCTTATTGATGGCATAAAATATATGTTCTAAAATAGCACAGGTACTTCTGAAGTTTCTCAATGAATTGCTGCTATGCTTAGCATGTTATATATTGCTTTTCATTTAGTAGGTGTTTTACTAACAGCTGGATGCCGTTTGTTAGACAAATTTGTTAGATCTTCCATTGGTTTACAAGTGTTAATTCCCTGTAATTCACACATGAAGAAACAGATTTTGAAAGTCACTAAGAAGGCTTGTGGCAGAGCTAAGTTTAAATTCACAAGTTCCTGAAATTCAACCATATATTACTGCACAAAATCAGGATAATGTAAATTTTATTGATAGACATTTTCTATATGCTTATTTGCTATATGTGATACATATTTTATATTCTATACAGGAGATTTGAGGTATATGAAAGAGGGATGACTTTAATTCCACCCTGCATTAATCAAAATACTATATTATTGTAGGTTAATAGAAATACATAACAAACTGTCCTAGAGAAATTTGAAATCATGGTATGAATCTGTGTACTCTTTTGCAGCCAGCTATAATTCATTATACCTTAACAGTAAATGTTTTTATATTTACAGTTAGCTCTTATCATCTTAGGATGATAAACATCTTCACAGCATTTTTTCCTTTTTGGCTGTCTTCTTTTACTCATTCTGGTCAATAATCATTTCTGGATTAGGGGAAGATAATTTGCCTTAGTCTTAAAAATTGCTTACCTATGCTTCTGTAATACTTATTATTAGGAGCCTGTTAAGACAATATAACATCTGCAAATTCTTACAGACTTACCATTCCTCTCTGAAATTTCACTGGTATATTAGATTTATGCAGAGGTCTTAGACCAGTATCTCCTCTTTTTCCATAGATACATAAGTAAACTGCAGAATCCGTATCAACTTGCTCCAAATGGCCAGTGTAGACATAAACATGGTATAAAACAACTTCCAAGAATTGCCAAGAGAAGATAACAAAAGTTATGTGCAACTTGAATTCATTAACTATTCTTAATGACTTCATTCTAACTATTCCATTATTAACTAACTTATTTCTTTTGTGCTAATCATCTAGCTTAATGGAAACAATGCTGCTAAATCTAATTTGCAGTGAATTTGCAGGAATATATTATCCAAAAGTCAGTCTAAATGTCTACCTTTAAGACTGCTAAGAAAACATTTTATGAATATAAAACACAAGCAATATAATTCAGATGACACTAATACTGAAAACCTAGCAAGCAATATATATGCAACTGTGCAGCTGCAAACTACACACATACTTGGATACACAGGCTTTCCAGCTTCCACAGCTGGAAGTTCACAGATTTGATCTCTATTATCACAAATCCTTGACAACCATGTGGTTGCTGGAAAATTCAGTATTTTCTTGCTCTTCAGATGTTGTAGTGTCACCTAGGAAAGAGGTAATTTACCTGTTACCCAGGTCACTTTTTCTGGTATTTTGTTTGTTTGTTTTCTTCCTAGCAGTCAGAAATACATCTCTACATCTTTTTTTCTATCTCAGAAACCAATTAAGTGATTTTATAAACAAAATTCCAGTGTGAAAAGATTTTTATTTTTGCTACTTCTTTATCACTTGACTCATCACTGGAGAGGATCTTTAACCACATCCGTGGTATCTCAGCTGAAATTGTCAACCTCTGTTCTTTGAACATATCACAGACTTTAAAATCTTCTTTTTAAAATAAGGAAACTTGAAACTGTATTTTGGTTTTCTGAAGTAACAAATACCACCCATTCTGATTTCTTTCCATGTGTCACCTCTATACAACACTGAAGTACTGAAGATTGAAAAGAACTGAAGTACTGAAGACCGAAAAGTGATTTTCTGGAAGTGGAAATATTGACACATTTTTATGTTAAAGAGAAAACAGGATGAAATTCCTCAACTAAATCTGAACTTTGGCAGGGAGACATATGTTGAAATATGAAATCAATTCATAATGTGTTGGGCTCTTTTTCAACAGAACTAAAGAAAACATGGGTACCAACACCCTCTATACCTTCTGCTGAAGACAGTCAATATCCAAATTCTGAAATTATTTGTCACTGTAATTACAATAGTTATCTTACTTTCCTAATGTTAGAGAAACATTTTTTCTCCCCTTTTTGGAGATCAGTTATTATTGGTCTTGAATTATAACAGCACTAACTACATTTTTTCCATAGGCCACCTCTAACAAAAGAAATCAGTGCCAAAATCTTTTCTCTCTGCACTTCTGTTTTGGATGTCTGCATGGCATGCATAAATTTGGTGACAGAAATTATGAAAACAAGTATTTGCACTCAGATTCTGAAACTTAGAAAACTAGGACAATATGTACCTTTATCTCACTTTTCCAATAAAGTCTTATTTTATGTAAAATGAACAAAGATCCCTTTCATCATAAAAACATGAATTTATTTAAACGTGAAATGTATTTATTTAAACACTTCTGCAGCAGTGATTCTTAATCTCTAATTGAACATACAAGGCTCCAACTTTGAATGTTTATTGGTGAGGCTTCCCCTGCTGATTCATAACTATAGCAAATTCTTAAGTGCTTTGTCAGAAAACACAGCTTTTAGGTTAATTTATTCATTCATATGAATGGAAATCTATGAAATCCCAGAGTAACATGATCAAATTTGGACCAAGATGTGAAAGAAATTTTCTGAAACAAACAGGATGGAAAATAGTATTCCTGCAATCATTCGAGTGAACTGAAATGTTTAAATTTCCATTCTGTTTTGATTTCTTTACCATTAAGGCCATTGGATTAATGTCAAAATCTGTTACTGATGTGTAAATGTGGTTGTCAAAATCAGGCTGTATAAGCTGAATGACAAGACAAAGAATAAGCTTCTGTGTTTTAAAGATCAAAGGTAAGAAACAAATCACAATTTCTTATTATCAATTCTAAATGAAAAAAAATGGAGGTCTATGTTTACATTAACTTAATCAAATATGCTAAAATATCATGAGAAAAAATAAAGGGAACACAGAAACAGAAAAGAAGAATTAATTAAATGAATATTGCAACAGTTTCTTTTTCCCTAAAACTGGTTGTAATTATGCGATACATTTGGACTATCTAATAAGCAGCCCACACCTCACCAAACTTCATGCATACTTTGCACATAGTTTTTACAGGTAATTGTTGCTCCACCATTTTCAATCTTTCATCTTCAGAACCTATAGTTAGGATCTCCCTAATGGATAGAAGAAGAAACACTGAAACTGCCATCTTCAAACTACATGAGTTAGGACTTGTTGCAAAAAAAAAGATAAAATTACACCTTTCAGGGAACTGACTTTGTATCAGTGCTTTTGTATCAGTGCTTTTGTCACCTTTTAAAGAACCTGAGAAGAGAAAGTGCTAGGAATGTCTCACAACCAGCATTTTTTTAGACTACCCATTCCATTTTTCCGAGATAAAGCTTCATGAATAGACAGATTGTTAGCTCATATAAAAATCAATTAAGTAGAAAAAAAATTATAAAAATCTCACCCTTTGTAACTTCCAGTCCAAATGGTCACTTGTTCGCTCGTGTTCAATTCTTATTTTGTAGATATTTCCAATGCTTTTTATTTTAATCTGAATTAAAAACAGATCAATACAACATAAAATTATGACCAAAAAATGTAACTTTAAGCTTGTGAGGCAGAAGATTCAGGTTGAATAATGCATGGCATTGCAAGGCCATGCTAACATTTAACTAACATTAAACCTATTTACGAAAAAAACACATTTCAGTCTCTCTGATGCTTTGAAGCAGCAGCATCTTAATGGCAAGCACAAGCGTGTGTATTCTATGCCTAAAACTGCCAAAACCTTCATAACATCTTGCAAAAAATCCTAAACATTTTATTTCTTTATTTTCCATCACCACATGCGAAAGAAGTCAAAAGTCTACCTCTCATGTATGTACAAAACCCATTTATCCTATGTTTTTACATTCTGACATTCTTTCAAATTGGACCATATTACTGGAAAAAAAAAGTATAGTTACATCACATATGAAAATAAGAAAACTGCACACTTATTTCTTCAGTTGGTTCCAGATTTCTCTGAACCATTACAACCTCTGAGTGTACAGAAACTGTGCACTACATTTGATTGGGAGATTTTGAACTATATGGTTCAGACAGCTCGAAATCAAACAGATTTCTGTCTGAGACACAGTTTTAAAAGATTTTACCTAGAATGAAACCAAAATTCTTACAGGAAATACTCTTTAAAGCTTGTACAGCCAAAAAATATATAGTTACTAAGAATCCTTCACAAGAGTAAATCCACTAAACCACAAGTCAAAAATCTTTCATAATGCAAAACCACAACACGACCATAAACACAAATATGTCACAGTATAAGAAGACATAAAACTTTTGGAGACTTAAAAAACAAGCTCTAAAAACAGGCTGAAAGGCATTGATGCTACCTTAAGGTTTCTGTATATGGTTTGCAATCATCTGCACTTTCAAGCATTATATGTGCTCTTACTCATGAAATCTTTACGGTACTATACAACTTTTTCCTATCCCAGTTATCTGGGTTTATTTGAAGTTTAACCACTATTTAAACTGAATATAAATCATTTTACATCATTCGTAATGGACTGCTAGGAAATGAAAAATAGATGCATTATCATGTTATTTCTCAAAAGTAATGTTAATAAAAGGTTGAAAATGGCCTATTCCACTCCATGGTTTACATTCAAACAAGCTATTGAAACTGTACAAAAATTGTTTTATTGCCTTTCTCTTGGAAACATCCACCAGTGTATTATCCACATGGTCTTTATCTTCATTAATAAAATCTCATCTTCTCTTTTCAAAGGTAAAAGTTTTCTCTCTGCTTACATCAACTTTTACCCACCATCAGTGCTTTTGGTATAATAAGTTTTTATGTTATAACCATAAAGTCATCTTGCTTTAGTCAAAGATTTCTAAAAGAAAAAAAACAACTTTTACTTGTTATTACCCTAAAGTATACCACATAGTCCACAACAGCTGTTTGAGAAGAATCTGTGGAATTCACACCTGTATTTATATTGGCACAGATGTGGTGTCAACCTGAATATAATTAACAAAATAAACAGTAGCTCCAGGCTTGCAACACTAACGTGATGTTGCCCTTTCCTTTGGCCTGAAAAAATAATCCTGTTCTGTGGAATCAGATTTGATTACTTCTGGTCATGCTCCTTAATATCTTTCTCTAGAAGTATTCTTCTTAAAGCTAAAAGGAGACTTTTGGATCAAAGTAGTAGTAAGGTGTATAACAAGATTGTCTGAAAAAAATTATTACCATTGGCTTTTGCTATATACTGCAAATATATACATCCAACTCTGAAGTAATATGAGACATTGTCTTTTCATTCACAGTACTGTTGTTCAGTGAATATGCATTGCTGTCATGTTTTCTGCTTATTCTAAAGAATCTCTCCTTAGTTTTTTTTTTGTTTATATGATCATTTCAAGTTTCAACACAAAATCTGGACTTGTCAGAACAAGAACATTCTGCCCCAAATTTTCCTTATCTGGCCAAGGAAAGAATCCTTATGGCAAAGGATATACTAACATCCTCCTAACTATACCAGAAGGTATAGCTATAGCATAACTGAATACTCTAGAAATTAAAATTTGATATCTTTTTCTCTAGGAAACATCAATGAAAATGTATCAAATGTATCAAATTTGCAAAGATGCAAATGCTAAAAATTAGCTGTAATTTTAACAGATGACTTTTTAAGTGACATTTATCCTCATAAAAAAAGAAGATAATGCTTAAATAGAAAAAAAAAAAAAAGGAAAAGAGACATCTTTCTCACAGACTTTTTCTTTGTGGTTTTATCTACTGCAGGCTAAAGAGGGAAAAGCACTTTGGTGATATTTATTACTTCACGCCTGAAAGCAATAGTATTGGTGTGATATAAAGAATCCTAGTAGTGGCCCCAGGTGCTGATGGAAAGATTCTCTTCTCTCACAAGATCAATACCTAGAGTGCACAGCTCTAATGGGCAATAGCTTTGTTAGAGAAGAGAAATTGGTCTATATCTTCAAGAACATATGGATTAACATTGCAAACATGCCATTATCCAAGAGTGCTTATGATTTATTCACTAATTCAGAGACCTGGATTCCCAGTGGATGATGACATAGAGCATGCATGCTTAAAAATGAACTTTAAAGGTGCCTATATGGCTGCCTGTGCCCCATTCATATAAATTTATATTTTTATAACTGACACAAATGATGTTGGTGTGCACCAAGATTGTACTAGTGGAGTAAGTACTGAAAAAAAAGTATGTGCAAAATGTGCAGATTATTGTTTATGCTTAAATTATCTGAAGACAAAAACAGAGTACATGCATTTTACACAGAAAACTTTGAGCAAAGCAGAAATTTTAGCCTTTTAGTAATTTCCTCTCTTCCTATCTAGGTATAATTTTATTTACAACATGGATGGGGTGTTTTTAAAAAAATTGTAGAACTTCATATTTTCAAGATATGATAACATACAGGTTACTCTCTTCTTAGTAATCCCATGTATAAAATTTCTGGAATTCCAGCTATTTATACTATGGTGGCTATGGTACTCTGCTAAAATGGCCAAGCTCTATCTTTCTTAACTGAACCTGTTCTAGGGTAACTATTTTTTTTCTGTTGCTAACTATCTGCATCAAACAGATTTAATGCAGTATTCATAGCGATTAGATAGCAATTTATTTTATGCAGTAAACATAGGAAGAAAATATTTGGAAAGACACATAGTAAAATAATGTTCTTAGCCTTCATTAGCTACCTGAAATTCATTCTCCTGCCTGGAAAGACACATCTGCTGTCTGCTGTCCTTGACAAGAGTTATTGGTCCAGCTACTCCTCTGTCTCCATATATCCAGAGAATGACATTTGCTTGAGTTCCTGAATTTCCTGTCAGCACTGACACTTTCCATTCATCATCTGAAGGAAGGGGACACTCAACACCTTGGGGATTTCTCATTTCCTCTGTGAAATACAGAACATTAGTGGGAGGTCAAAATTGACATGAAAATGCTGGTTGCTGTTGTAACATCAGCACATAGGAGAACATAACAGAGAGAGGATTGTATTTTTTATGGCAAGTGAGGTAGTCTAAAAAATTGATTTATGTTTCTTGTCTAGACCAAAATGTCCTTATTAGTTGAGCTACAAGATTCAACTGGAAAAGAACATGCATCTCACACACATGCTATCATCATGCCATTCTTTCTTTTTCAAAGCTGCTAGTATGAGCAGTCGTGACTATGAAATGCATTTGGTTCCTTGCCCTAACATTTAAAATCAGAAGAATTACCCATAAATACTCCTTGGATGCCTTATGCTGGGAACAGAATCAGTATTTGAAGAACAGAGACAAATATGAAATGTGATTCAAGAAATTTTCTTCAAATTAAATATTAATTAAATATTTTAAAATATTCAGAAAAATATCAACATATATCCCTGCCTATCAATATGCAAGCATTCAATGCCAGTTTTTGGACTAAAGGAGGTTCTGAATGAATAACAGTGAAGCATACTTTATGAGTAAATTTCACAAATTAAAGGACAGAGCAAATACAGTTTTTGAAAACATACAGTTTGCTTCAGAATATAATATATTGATCTTTTATCTACCTTTCAGAGAAAAAAAATTCCAAAGTTCTCAAATGACTCCCATCAATATAAAATATGAAAAATTCTCAACATAAATGAAAGTAATTCTGAGTATTTTAATCCAAATGGCATTAACAAATATTGGATTTATACATCCTTTCAAAAATACCACCACTATTCACAAAGTCCTTTCCACATATCTAGGAGGAGGGAGTCCTTGCCCCTAGGAATTTATACTCTAAGCACTAGGTTTGAAAAGATGAACAAACACATTGTCTAATATGCTATCTACTGCAGGGATTCCTGAAGTTCCCCTCACAAAGCCTTTTCATGTGGCTGCAAAGATACTTTTTAATATGCTAACTGTAATGAATATAATCTGCACTGTGGATTAATTTTCTTTTGTTTCTCTTAGCACATTTCTCACCCATTAATTGGCTTTCAAATTCTTGGAAGCCAGAGGCTCCGAATGCATAATAGAATTCACTTAAGATATCACAGAATTCATAAAAGCCAATGCTTCTGGTTTGTTCAAGAATTCCCCAGTGCATCAGCATGCTTCCAGCTGGACTAGATAACTTACTATCAGAACCCTCTGCTTTTTACTTTGCTTTGTTAAAATACTAAGCAAAATAAAACATGTATGACAGAATATTGCAAAAATAATATGACTACAATTTTGTTAACATTAAAATAAAAGTGTGAGGATAAAGTGAAACATGGTTTTAAGTACTTGGAATTTGCTTCTTTCAAAACTTATATGAGCAATAAATTCCACATTTTGCTGAAACATCAGTGAAGCAAGTTGGGTAAGTGAAGATGGTTCAGTACTGAGGCAGGGTTGTGATTTTCCCTTTTAATTTCCTCAAAAATCACTTTTATCATATTTCATAAATGCTTTTTCTTTTTAATTAGCTTTACTTTAAAAAAGTATATAGTCAGTTGGACTATCTATGTGAAAAACTCTATACTAGACTAACCACGCTTTGAAGTTGAATTTGTAACTAAATCACTGAACCTGAAATTTTAACCTATGTGAAATTTCACAAGCAATTTCAGTGGAGTATGAAACAATTAGAAGGTCTACAGTAAGTAGGGACTAACTTGTGAATTTAGGGTGAATTTCTGACATGGTAAAGACTATAAATTTGGTTAATTATTTTTTAAGAAACGTGGAGCTGTAGTAATAAGCAGTAGTATAACTTTGGAATGGTTATGGGCATTAAGAAATAGAAAGAATGTTATAAAAATGGCTGGTTTTATTGTATTTTTCATCATGATTGAGATTAAGTTATTCTGAAAGAAAAAATATCCACACACTAAAAAAAATAAGAAGATTAGCACCTGTTTTATGGTTATCTGAATCAAAATTTTATGACTTTTTTTCTATCAGTGATTGAAACATCTATCTGTGATTGAAACAGTGGAACAAATGCTGCATTATGGGACATAGCAGAATCCTAAGAATATTTTAAATTTGTCAAATTTTCAAAATTGTTTATTGTACCAAAGCAACCATTTTTAAAAAATTGACAATTTTAACATTTTAGATGAGTTTAACATCTTAGAGATACTTCCCATAATTGGAGCCCTTCATTGTTTCCGCTTGTAACGAGAACCAGAACTCCTTCCATCTATCTAACACTACACCTTACTTATTTAGGTAGAAGATGCAATTCACAAGTATTTCCCAACAAACAGAATAAAATAATCATGAAATATACTATTATTTAAAAAGCATAAGGAATCCAAAGCTGCTCTTCATCCTTCATTTTAACTAAAAGAAATCCATACCTTGACTATTGCTAACCAAAGTAGCTCCTGCAAGCAAGGAGCAATGCCTACCTAGTGAAAACAATTACTGTATTCTTATAAGGCTTGAAATACAATTTTGCCACATAATATACTGGCTCTTTTTACAAATGAAAATCAGCGGCATTGACATGCTAAAAATATTCCAATTTGAAAAGAGGATTTGTTGGTTACCCTGGATTAGTCATGGGAGTTTATACACTTCAGGGCATCATGATGTAAATCCATTGTGACAAATATTCATTCTGATAAGCCTGCATGAGAATGATGGAGAAGTCACAACCCTCCACACAGTTTCATAAAAATCACTTTACTTCTGACTTTACTTACCCAAATCTAAAATAAAACGGAACTAATCTGGTTCTAAGAGACCGTATGTTTGAGTGACAGTCTTGAAATAATCATCAGTGAAAATAATGTTTGGAGCAGAATGTTATGCAGTAATGGTTCTTTGGTACCATCATTTCCAAAGTAAATCAAATAGAAATTAAACAGATCTTATTTCTATATTATTTTGCATTGTAAATAAAAATTAATAATAACTAATAAAAACTATTCCAGACATGCAAGAAAGGGGCATGGAGGGTACGGAAATTACTCCTCAGAGACAATTGGTTAATACTGAACCACAAAGTTGTTCTCAGCATCATGAGCTTTCTTGTCTCATGGAAACTTTTGAACCTCTCACTTCAGTTCTACTAACACACGCAGACATGTTTTCACCAATGAAATTTAAATGTCATTTCAAAAAAATAGGGGCAAGCAGAGGGGAAATTCCTTCATGATGATTGTTTGATAGAGGGTATGAGAGTAGTCTATATTGTAAGGGGGGCTGTTGGTTTTGGATGGTTTTTGCATCTCATAAATTAATAAGATTTTAAAAACCCACAGTTATTGGTTTGAATCTTTAGTGCATTCTGCTTCGCGTCCTTTACCCCTAAGCTTTCTGTGCTCCTCTAACTGTAAACAAATTCTCTCCTTTCTGTCTTGGGCAGCACAATTGACCAGTCTCGAGTCTGGAATGTGGTGCTTTACATGTATTCTAGCTGAGGTGGTCTTTGTAGGGTGAAAGCAGTGATTTTGCAGAGAATTTTCACCCCTACAGCTGTAGCACAGTTTCTGTTTAATCCTAAAACCAGAATTATTTGTGAAAGCAATAACCAGAAAACCAGAGAACAGTTAGCAGATCCAATCATAGAAAAGATGGCCTGGACCATCTAAGGGTTAACCTGTTTCAAATTGGGATGTTAAGTATAGAGCTAGAATGCATACTAATTACAGACATCATGCTTTTCTGAATGTTAATTCTGAAAATAAAGAAAAACCAAATACGGATTAGAAATTAAGGCTCACCCCCAAATATCCATGGTCAGTTTTTAAAGTATTCTGAGGGAAAACAGCTAATAATATTGAGCATTTTCTTTGAAAGGCAGAGTAACTTTGATGTTTCTATTCATTTTACATAAGCAGAATCTACTTTTACAAATGTCACACATACTTTTAACAAAGTGCTATATTCTTAGCCAATTTTATGGTAGGTATTGCTTCTATAAAAGCGTCTTTAATATTCAAACCTTAAAACACGCTACTTTTTGTGTATTGTTGCCTTGAGTTTTAAATTCAGCACATCACACCATTTGCAGACAGCCCACAACACTTTGGGAAGGCTATGTGACACAGTAATTCAACATAAAGACCCAGATTAGAAACTGAAAGTGGGTGTTTTGAGTTAAGAATGGAAACATTGTCAGAAATATTTAGCAGTAATTAGAAATAATAATCCACACCTCTGAATTCAAGCAATGTATTTGGTTCAACTCAAATTGTTTCCAATTCACACATACCCTAGGAATAAGCACGCTATGTTTATTATTCGTTCACATTGGCATAAGGGTTTTATCTATATTTCAAAATAGCAGTCTGAACAATAGGCCAAAAAAAATTAGCCACCCGCTTGAATCGTTTGCCCTATGAATGCCTTTGGGACTAGCTCCAAGTGATTTTGCCTATTCTCCCATACCAACAATCCCAGCCATTGGGATTGCCCATAGTCTTGCCGTTAAAGCACATTAAAGGGGACAATTTTTTTTTCAGCTGTGTGGTTGTGCCTCAACATGTCATGTGGATCTCAGTAGTTGTATTCACTCCATCTATTTTTGATGGTGATATTAGACAATTCAGGTTGTGAAGACACAGTATCCTTGAGAAGATCAAAATAAATGAGAGGCAGGAAGCAACTTGATTATCTCCACTCCTTAACAGATGTATCACTACTTGACTCTTGTTTAGCTCCTTAGTCACAGCTTCTCTAGTTACTATCACAGAATCATAGAATCATAGAATGCTTAAGGTTGGAAGGGCCCTCTAGGGGTCATCCAGTCCAACCCCCCTCCACATGCAGGGTCACCTAGAGCACATGGCACAGGACTGCATCCAAGCGGATTTGGAAGATCTCCAGAGAAGGAGACTTCACAACGTCTCTGGGCAGCCTGTTCCAGGGCTCTGTCACCCTCACTGTTAAGAAAGGAGAGGGCTACTCCTCCTCCTGCCTACTAGGGTGTTGAATATTCCTAGAAAATTTTTGATATGGGAAAATCATTGCTTTAGACAATCTATGAAATTTACATAGCTCAAGGAAAGCCATGACTGGAGCAGTATTTAACTATTCCTCCTCACCTAACCATAGATATGAAGCTAGCATGCAGTACAGTAAAACCTTACTCTTCCCCCAGTGAGTGAAAAAGAAGCTAAAAAGGATTCTGACATAAATCTGGATAGCACAAAAGGGAAACATTCTATTCGTTCAGGGGGCTTTGGCTAGGTCTCTGCCTGATATTAGCTTACTAATTTAGGCTACAGATTTCCCCACAGGAAGAGGAAGAAAAGACAAATAGGTTAGATGCCTAGATGCTTAGAAAACAATATTGTCAAATTATTTAACAGTTATATGATGATCATTGACTAAATAATAAACCAAAAACACTATTCATTGTCCTTAAGTCCCTGTGAACATGCATAGAAGGTAGACATAATGTAGTATTACATAAGAAATTTGTTGTAAACTACTGCTTACCTGTGGGTGGAAATGTTATAGGGCTTTGGGATCCTGGCTTCTGGACTGGTTGTTGCTCAGATTGCTCATTGGCTGGTTGGTGTTCAGATTCTCTGAACTCTTTTTTCTTTCGATTGGGTGCTGCAGATGTTCCCATGGGCTTCTCACGGCCAACTAGAACAGTGAAATGCAGACTCTGTCACTAGCTACAAATCATTTGCTTTTTCTCACTCACAGAGCATAGATGCAATGACAAACACTAATAATAGACCTTGCAATTGTTCTACACAACAGATGCCAAAATCTTTTCTCTATAGCCTGCACAGCCACTAGTAATAGGCTTTCATTGTTAGCAACATGCCATGAAAAGTGGAAAAAATATGGCATGCCAATAGAAATTCATTTACTGCTTTGAAAAATCTAAGTAACAATTTAACATTGATGTATGAATCAAATGACTTGCTCAAATGTAGTTTTTCTCAAGATAAGCTTCCCACTCCCCCGATGTTTTCCTTCTTAAAGCAGAGAATGCTGAAATGAAAACTGCTGGAGGCCATTTCTGATAACATTAAATAGCAAACAGACAAATCTTGGTTGCACTGCCAGAAAATATTAGCTCCTTGTATCTTCCTTTTACAGAGTAAAAGGAATTGGGAGAACCTGAGCCTGTAACAAAGTAACTTTTAACTTTATTTTAACAGCATCAAAAAGCGTTTTGTTAACTTCCATGGGAAACCCAATCCTCCAAAAAGTACAAAAGAATATTCTTTCCTCATTTCTGCAAGGATGAAGTATTCTTGCCACCTGAATGGTGGAGATACTATTACAGTGGCTTTCACAATGCCTCAGTGCTTCTTGGTTAAAATAGACATAAATCAAAATAGCAAGACAGACTGTATGCTATGATACTTTCCCACAGATGATCAAAGCATTCTAGATGAACTTGCTCTGCTCATATCTCAAAAAAAAAAAAAAAAAAAAGACTCTATTCAAACTTAATGGTTATTTTTTTCCACGTAATGTTTCATTTCTTGATCTCTGCCACATTTTCTACAAGATATGAATTTAAAAGGTGTAATTTCAGCATGCTCTGAAGGTTTAACACAAATCACCTGGCTAGTAGTAGTTCACCACATGAAAAACTTAATTCTCCTGATGGAGATGAGACAAGCAGGCAATCCAGTGACCATGATCCAGAAAGTGCTGAGAGGGAATTTCTTGGTCCTTGCTAGTCAACTAGAACAGTTCAGCCTAGTGAGATAGCATTTGGCTGCCATAGCTTTCACATCTAACTATAGGGCAGAAGAAACAATGCACTTGGGGGTATGGAGAATTGTACAGTATTTTACGCCGTTAAAAATGAAATCATCCTGACAACTGACAGGTATATTTTCACTAAAGCCTACAGCTTTTCTCATAAAAATAGGAAAGACTAGTATAGGTCGCTGCAAGATAGAATCTCCCAGACTTCCCTAATCTGTACCCAGAATGGAGAACAGACGCAGGATATCAACTCCATCTCTGTCCTGTCACCTGATAAGTGTCTCATACTCAACATTTTATTTATTCAGTAAAAAAGAAAGAAAAGAAAAAAAGAAAAAGATTTATTCTGTTTCCTCTAAATGACTTACTGAAAAAAAAATCAAAAAATTAGCCACATAGGAGAAATGATGTGTGAGTACAATAAACTTTTCACCTTTAAAAGTAAAAGTAAAACACAGCAAAGTGAATTGTGCAAGCCTAACTTTTATGTTTTTACTTTGAGTTTTGCCAAACAAAAACACTAATCAGTAAAGCAAACTGTACCATATTAAGAAATCACGTACATTTGATGACCTGTGGATAGAATAAAATGTTTCTCTCTCCAGTGTGAATGACTGGCTTAGCCTGGCCATCCGGCAGAAGACCAACATAGATTCCTTTGTTTCTTACTGATTCTAGACTTACAGATCCGCTTTCCAAATTATGCTCAATTTTAAAGTGACAATATTCATCACCTGTGCCCTAAGAAATTGAAAACAGAAACATAAATTCAACTATTGAACAGATGTGGTTAGGAATTTGGATGTTTACTAAGACTTACTTATTACTTTCTTCTAATTACATTTTAAATTTGGATTCTTCTTAATGTGTTACATTATTGCACACACGCATATCTGCATCTTGGCCCTATTTATTCTACTGTTGTCAGGTAAGATCAGTCACATAATCTAAGTGAAAGACCACATGTGAAAGCATCCTGAGTCATGTTAGGATTTAGCAAAGTCTAAGATATCTTCAAAGCAGTTTCTCACATAGTCAAGTCTCAGGAGAGCATGAAGCGTGAAAGGTCTATTATAAGTAACAAAGGAAATACATATGTATTTATACATAATGCCGATTTGCTAGTATTACATGACCTAATGTTGTTATATTTTTCTGCTTTTGATAAACTGCTTCTACTGCCTGCTCTTAACATTTTTAATATACATTTCATAGTACTTACAGGATAAATTTAAAAGCCTTTACTCAATCAAAGCCTCCACACACTTCTAAGAGGACCAGAACTTTTGCAGCAATAAGTTAACATGACTGTGGATTTAAAAGCACACAGAATCATGCACACTAATGTTCCAGGCACAGTTATATGGCCTAAGGCACCAGGGTTCAGCTAGTCTTTAGAACATGACAACTTCTCCTGGACAATGATGAAAAGCAGGCAATAAAATCCCCATTTGATATTCCTTAGATCAAACTCCCTTTCATATATTATACTTTTAACCTCAAAATGCATTAACTGCTAGAAAGAAAAGCACAAGCTGCATGTGAATCTCTCCTTTTGGCAAAATCTGTTGAGTCAATGGAATAACTGTCATATATCTCAGCTGCTTACATCTTAATTTTGAATTAGTGTTTTTGCAATCGGTCATCAATTTAAACATAATACCACTTTAAATCACAAAAAAATGTTTGCTTTCTATCACATTCAAAAGAATTATATCAGTTATTATCAATAAACAGATACAGGATTAGTAAACAGTGAGTGTAATGGTTAAATTTGTTTCCTCTTAAATTTAATTCCAGGTAGAGAATATTATGTGTCTAAAAATCAGAATATTTCAATCATTTCTCAAACTTAATTTTATTCCTAAATACAAAGACTATTTATAAATGCTAAGGTAACTTCAAGAATAAATTCTACGTGGTTGGCTGATGAAAAAAAAAAACAGATATTTAATTTCAATTGTAATAAGAATTGTTCAGTAAAATTGGGGACACCCAACATCACACCATAGCACCAACCAAAAAGCTCACATCAGTATAACCATAGTTATTTAATAGAAAACAGATTGCTGCAAATGAATCTTGACACAGCCATCATCAGCAATGGATAGGCTTCAGTTGCATCTGCTTTCTCAACAATTTAAAAATATAATTAGATCTTTACAATCAAATGTCAAATACATCTGACAACTTGCCTTGCTGCATTGCTTTCTTTCCTTGGGCAAATGAGGGAGAAGATATGTCCAATTTTAAATTTGAGCAATGCATTTATCAGATTTTTGTCCAAGAAACTCAAAAAAAAAAAAAAGATTCGCTCCTATCACTAACAATTTACTCAAGTAACATGCAAAGGAAAATACAAACAGGAGCTGCTTACTGTTCCATTACACTGGCCATCTTTTATCTTCAGATACATCTGTGGATTTCTCACACTCTCAAACATGCAGACTCCAGAGCTGAC